TTATAGTTTTATTTTATTATAATTTTATTACAATTAATGAAACTATATAAATAATAAAAAAAAATAATAAAAAATAATAAAGATAAAAAGAACAAAATAAATTAGTTCCAAAGGTGAAAATGAGTTTATCAACTAACTTTGTACAACTCTTAACTCAAGATTTTTCAGGTAATTTTCCTCAATATAAACAATATTTGTACTCTATCGTCAATAGTCAGTATGATGTTGTGAAAAATTTATTTAATCAAGTTATTGGCAAATATCCATTATACTGTCATTCTAAATTATGGAAATTGTTTGTTTTATAAATAATAATAACCATTTATTTATAAATGATATAATAACATGTTAGATATATCGATTTATCTTTCTCTCGTGGATTTAATGAGTTTTTAGATGTTATATGGGTTTGGTTATTACAAGCTCCACCCACACCTTCTACTGCACTATATCTTATTGAGAAAATTAATGTATTTCAAGCCTATTTTGCTCCTCACAAAATGCAAGAGTTTGTTATTTATTTGAGTAAAAAGAAAGAGTCAAATTCAAAATATATTCTTTTGTTTTAAAACAAGAGACTATTGAAGGCTTGAGTATTTTTGTTTTTATAATTATTTTTTCTTCAATACTCTCTTCTTAATCTTATGAGTTCATTCTTCTTTGAAGCTGATTCTTATTTTTATTCTTTTCTTAGTCTTTGTATTTTATCTATCATTTCATTATTTACCTCCAAGTTTATTAATGGATATTATTGAAAAAGTTGGACTTGCACCAAATATGAATAAACTCTGGGAATTAATGATTAATAATACTATTGATATAAAAGAGAAAGAACAACTCTTTTCTATTTATCATGACTTTTATCCACCAATTCCTGATAAACAATCTCCAACAAAACAATTAATGCGATTTAATGAAATTCAGATACAAACAATCTTTTATCAAGAACTTAAACATGGCAAAAAGTTATTAATACAAAAAAGAACTAAAGGACAATCCCAAAATAGTCCTTTCGTAAAGACTTATATTGATCTCTTGGAAACAGAATATAAAAGACTTAAACAAAACATTTTCTCTGATATTTGTCCTATCACATTTGGTTCTTTCTTCTATTTCATAGAAAAAGTTGTTTCATTACTTGTTAAAATGTTCCCATTTAAGTTCGAACTTATTTATAAATGGCTAAAACGTGAAGGTAAAAGTATTCTTAAATTATCTAGTTTCCTTAATTCACAGAAGCAAAACACAGAACTACAACAATTTAGTATTCAACAACTCTTTATTAAAAGAAGCATTAGATTCCAAATGAACCTTCACTTAGCATTAGTCCAAAACAATGATCTAAATGTATTAGATGTAGATGGTAAATTATGGTCATTATATTTCAAAATTAAACTACTTACTTCAGACCAACCAACAAAAGCTAATATGTTAAAGAAAATTGAACAATTAAAGGAAAAATTACATGTTCAGTATCTTCCTATTTCATTACAATTAATTAAAATGAGATTATATTTAACAATAAACTATAACACAGAATTTAACATCGTTGATTTAGATAATTTATTTAATCAATTTTATGATTCTTATGATACTAAATTATTAAGTGAATTTGAAGATATATGTTCTCTTTATATTAATAATTATTCATTAAGAAGAAAGTCTAACGAAATTATTGGAATTTATGATGGTTTACTTGACTTTCCTGGTGTTTGTTTCTTTTAATTTTAATTATATTTCATATTATTCATTTTATTAGGAAAAAAAGAAGTGGTTACTTTGGAAAGAGTATATAGATACAATGCTTAAATTAAATCGTATTGACGTTATTCCTTCTCTTTATCAAAGAGCAATTCCATTTTTGTCTGTTTGTTTTTTTTTGTAATAACTATTTTCTTTTATTAATGACTTAGCTAACTGAAGTAAATATTGCTTGGAAAACATTCTATGACCTTATGAAACCTCAAGTTTCATTCGAACAGTTTAAAGATGAGCAAACACGTTTGTTAGTTACTTCACGAAAAAAATCATTTATTTCTCCACAACTTATTTCTAAACAACCATCCCCACCTGTTCAGCCATTAAGACAACAGTGCCATCCTTCTTTCCAACAACATTCTTCTCAATATCCTCAACAATTTTCTGTTCCTCAAAATATGTATCAAGTCCCAATGGGTTATCAGTCAATTTCGCAACAACCTTCTTATATTAATCAAATACAACAACCTATGCCTATCCCCCAAAAACCAATTGGATATTTACCACCTTCATATCCACAACAGTTTTAACCGACTATATCAAAATAAACTCTTAATTGAGGCTTCAGTTTCTTTTGAACATAAAAATAAAAGAAGTTAAGAGATGTTTAATTGAAAAATTAGAATTGGAACAAAGTATTTGCGTTT